TCAGCTTCGTCTTGGTGCCCTTCAAGACCCTGGACCTGCTGTGGATCACCAGCGCCCTCTCTACCGGCCAGATCCGCTTGTGAGTGACTCCTGTACTGAACACACACCCTGTGGCCGAGAGTCATCAACTGTTTCCTCAGGCCTGTCAATCATCAGACAGCTCCAGGGATAGAAGCCTCCAGTTAACTAAACAACAGGCAGGGCTCTCGAGTGGCTTGTCTCAGGACAAACACCATTATACTTGCACACAGAGTATGTTGATGTTCTGCAACTGATATCCAACAAGAATCAGACATTTTGTGACCTGATTAAAGTCCATATCAACACATCCAGCTGAAGAGCACAGAGCTCAACAGGCTCAGCGGGTCCAAAGGTTACTGTTCTTTAGAGTTCTTTTCCTCTGTCACTCCACCTGAGCTTTGTGTACCTTTATCCCATAATCTTTTGCACAATTAAAGGGGCAGGGCTTCCACCTAACTGTGCATCAACAATCTAAAAAACAGTTCAAGAAATTCTGAATGGCCTCAAGAAAACATTCTCTGTGGTTGCTCAAACAGGACAGACAAGATAAACTGGTTTGCTTGCATAGGCTAACTGCACTCTCTCTCCTTCTGCAGCACGTATGCCCCTGTGAAACAGTTCCTTCGTGTGGACAAAGACAAGGTAACCCTGCCACCCTGAGCACTCCTTGGACATATCTTAGGAGGTGATAATTAAGACAAACTAAACTAAATTGAGTAAAAAAGGAACTAAAAAAAACATCCGTTGCACCTTTTGTCTCCAGGTACAGATCTACAACCCAGCCTTCTTCAAGTACATTCATGACCGATGGACTCAGCACCATGGTCGCTATCCCTCCACCGGCATGCTGGTGCTATTCTTCGCGTTGCACGTTTGTGACGAGGTGAAACCAAAAACCTACACATTTCCCCTTCTCCACCCTTCTCTGATCCCGCCCACTTTGCCTGACCCCGCCCTGTGTGACCCAACCCACAGTCAGACCCCGCCCCCTTCTGTGTCAACCCCCTATCAGGCTCCACCCCCTCTGGCCCAGCCCCTTTTCAGACTCTACCCCTCTCTGACCCGACCACCGTTATCAGACCACACACTGAAGTCCCTGCGCTTTCTCCTGACCCTGTCCTGTCGTCTCTCCAGGTGAATGTTTTCGGTTTTGGCGCAGACAGCCGGGGGAACTGGCACCACTACTGGGAGCAGAACCGGTACGCTGGTGAGTTCCGCAAGACAGGGGTCCACGACGCCGACTATGAAGCCCAGATCATCAGCTCCCTGGCCAAAGCTGGAAAGATCACCATCTTTCCTGGGAAGTGAGTGGAGAGGAGCGGATTTAGACGTGGAAGACCGAGAAGCAGAAGATAGTCTGCCTTCCATGGGGACAGAGCTCCCCATCCAGGATTCTATGTTCAGCTTGCTCATAGTCTCACACACAGACTTCTCCTCCCAGGCGTATGCACGGCAGTGCTCAGGTTTGCTGAGGTACCTCTGCCCTCTACGCTGGGTTCAGATGTAACATTGGCTTGATGGTGTTTGAAGTTCGGCCCACTGGTACTAGGGTTCCCTCTCCTGCTTTGCATGACTGTGCCCCTGGCAGAAAGCTCATCAAGCATGATCAGGATTCGCCCTCCCGTCTCACTGACACAGCTGATGCCCGGACATGGCCCTGTGTGGGGACTGGAGCGTCAGGCCTTGAACATCACAGACTCTCACTCCAGGAGAGACGGGAAAGACGAGGGTAGGTGAAACAGCGGACAGTCCTGCCTCTGGGACTTGGGAAGCAGTCAAGTGCCTCTGGATGTGCTCATACTCTGTGGTCTGGACGGACACTGTGCCTCCTCCAGGTCTGGCACATGAGTAGCAATACAGCGTGCCAGGTGCATTTCTCCAGTACTGCACATCTCCAGTACTTACTGGGCACAGACACTAGGCAGAACTACGGTCCAGCCAATTTGCTCTTTTAAAGTAGGAGTTATGTTCTTTTATCAGGTTTGAAGCGTTTACATTTCAAGCTTTTACAGAGCTGCATTTTTCATATCGGTACTATGGCTCTATTTTTTTTTTGTTTTATTTTCATTTAAACCCATTTCAGGCTGAAACACCAACACTGGGCCTACCTGTGCAAGGCCATGAGCTGTGAGTCCTCTCTTGATCAAGGGGACAGAGGCTGCCTGTAGAGATCGCAGATGTCTGCTGCTGCCGACGACTTCAGACTGAGAAATGTGAGTCGGAGCAGGACATGTGGGGCTCCATGGCTCCAGCCCGCCTTTACTTTTCCAAACTAGGATTCTTGTGGGGACACTGGTGGAATGATAGTTGGGTGAGAGTTGTGGATTTTAAAGTAAATGACCCGTTGCTGACTGGATCAGAAGCCAGCAGTGGGAGGTGGGAGACACAGGGTGTTTACAGGTACTCTTGCAGCAGGGAGTTCTGCTGGACCTGAATGGAGCTGGTCCTGGTATCACAGCACAGCAGCACCCCTGTGCGCTGAGGCTAGGGGGGATTCACACGGCGCTCGTTTAACATCACCAGTCATATCCTTTCAGTTGTTTTCTAGAAATTTGATGAAGGTTGTGAGTTTTAAAAATAGGCATTTGATGCAGTCAGCACAGGCACAGCAGCCTCTAAACCATCAAGCCCAGGGAGATTGTAAGATATAGGCTATTTGGTAAGACGTGGGTTTATGTGAAGGCCCAGTTATGAGCGCAGCGAGACAGAGGTCACTGCAGCTCTGTGTCCGAGCACTGGGGAACCTGCCTCCTTCCTGATGACCACACTGCTGCTATAAATACAACATGAAAAGGGCCCAGACAGGCACCACTACTGTATACAGTATTTACCTCTACTGCAGGGGGGTTGACATTGGGCTGCTCTGCTAAAGCAGCTAAAATGCTAGAAGTTTAAAACTGACACATACCTGCTCAGACAGGGTCCCGGGGTTTATTACCACTGTGACTCATAGCACAGTCAGGACTGACAGACCCCTGCCCTCTACTGTCCGTTAGGGAGCACTGCAACTCAGAGCCCATGTGAAGAGCTGCCAGGAATCATCCTACTCTTCCTGCCCACAGAAGTGCAAGATTAAATCAAAACAGAACCAGATCTACTCTTCTACACATACCCCAGGTTACCCACATTGCATACTGGGATCTGAGGGTTATGGTTTTGTTAGTCTTTTGTAAATTAAGATTATACCTGTTAACAGACGTCTGCCCTTTCCTGGTGGATATTGTCTTGCACAGGAGCAGGGAACTAGGGCACTCCCAGCTTTCGTGAGCTCAGAGTCCTGCAGCACTCAGCACACAGGTGCTGCTATACGGTTCAGGAACTCTAGGTACAGATGTGCCCTGTACTGGTCAGGGACACTCACTGCAGCTGTGCCCATACACACCTGAACACTGGGAACGCACACATTATTTTTACATATTATTTTTTGGGTCAGTTGTTTGCTGCTACCTGCTTTGTTCACATTGTTTTACCCTAAGAAGTATACAGCATTTTTGTCGTGGCTATGTCCAAGTCTGGCTGGGCTGTCTCTTCAGCTCGGTGGGCTCAGATCAGGGCTTGTGTTAAGGCTGCCATCTCCTGCTCCTGCGTCTGTTTTCCGCAGCTGTGGTCCTGCTGGTGCCGTTTCTATGGGCGGGGGGCACCATGACTCACTGCCCTGGTATCTGTCGCTGCCTTGTGTGACAGACTGCACTCTGCCCCATTCCTGCCGGCCGCAGAGAGCCATGTGGTGTTGCAACAAGATAACGAGATTAGTCTGCAGCTGCGTGAGAACGGGACGGCGTGACGCGCTGGGTCTGTCTGTGCGTGGGTTTGTGTCGCTGTTTGCCTTCGCTCTGACCATTTCATTTGCTTATTGTTCGGATAACGGCACTTCCACCTCCCCGCCGTGCTTCTGCAGGAAGTGTGCGAACAACTCTCTCTAGTGCCTTTTCTGACGTGTCTCCTGGTTCCACATACAAACCCCCGGTACTGTCCTGAAGGACAAGAGACCTCTGTCAGTGGGCAGTTTACAGTCTCCTCCTCGCCAGCATTGCTTTTCAGTTCTGTTTGACAGCTGTCTGCCTCCATGCCCTTTGCTCCACAGTGACGTAGTGCCATTTTCTCTTTCTTGACCAGAGGGGCACCAGGGTACAAGCTGGCCTACCAGGGCTCTCCTGCCTATTGCCAGTTTTTTTTAAAGCTTGTGGTTTAGTGTTATATGGAAGGATGGCGAGAATGTTTTTAGCAGTTAAATTACCTAGAGGGGTCAGAATCTTGCTCTAAGTAGTATTTTGTGCATTTACAATTCATTTACTATCCTATTACTGAGCATCTCTGCAAAATGTCATACGTGCCGATCAACGTGCAAGTACTATCCCAGCCTGTGGTCAACTAACACCAAGTGAACTGATAAAACAATTGCAATTGAAATTTTATACGTGTTTTTTATATCTTATTCTTGTCTTAAACTTTATAATCGCCAGTTACAGTATATAGTCACTTGATGTGGAAAACCCAACTGTATGTTTTCTACATCTCGGCTAGAAACTCTGAACTTGCAGCGCACACGGGGGAGGATGAGGAAGTGCAGACTGACTCCTCTGCCCAGCCCACCTTTGGGCCAATTGTCTGTTCCCAGATCACAGGAAGCACCTCCCCCTACAGGAGGTTCAGCTCTGATTGGAGGAGGGGTGTGGCCCACACCCACAGCACCATGTGCCTGCAAATGCCCAGGAGGCCACAGGTGGAGCTGAGAATATCTCTTGCCTAATAATCCTACCCCACCCTCAGTGGTACGCAAGCAATTGTCTGCGACCACTTGAGGAATCCAGGTCGTAGCAGGCTAGTGAAGTGACCCAGGCTCGAACCCGCACCCATAGAGCTTAATCTGCATGGGCGAGTGACTTCACCGGTTCCGTTCCTCTGCAGCTCCCCCATCTGTACTTACAGGAGCAGACATAAGCAATGGCAGTCTGTGCCTGAATCTTGCAGAGGAAATCCAATAAGTTCATCATAAAGTTTAATAAATGTGTATTTTTATTTGCAAACTACGCTCGTCACCAATACCTCTTCCTAGTATTGAGCACTCACTCATCCTAGCAAACAGCTTAAGATGACTGAGTGAGGTAACTAATCCAGGACCATGCCAACACAACGTCTGTGCACAGATGTGAGTATACATGATGTTATCATTCTCTGTTGCCAAAGCTTTTGCCAGTTCCAGTGCACACTCACGCCCAGCTGCCCACCTGTCAGACTGCCACCCTCTCCAGCTGGTCCCCATGGCAGCCAGTTCAGCCACAGGCTCTCCGGGGGGGAGGGGCAGCAGGTGTCGTGCAGGAGGGTGGGAGGCTGGGGGCGGGAGAGCTGGCTGCCTGTCAAGCAATGTTCCCTCTGAGCTATTATGAAACAACGGCACATTGGAAATTGAACTGCGCACAAAAAAAATAAATTCCCCAAAAATCGGATAATAATTAAACAAATATGGTTGTCAATTGAAAAAATGCTTAATGGACCACGAGACTGGCTGCGATAGGCCCAACTCGATATCTATGCTCCCGAAGGCTCGTACCTCCCTGCTCCAGCTCGCTCGACTCTCAGTCTCTCTGACTGGGCTCGTTGAATCACTGTCCCGGCCTTTTGGATCTCTATGCTTCTATGAGAATTACTATATTAACAAAAAATAAGATTTACAATTTTACATACACTCAATTTAGTGCGCACAAGTTTGTGTCACGGGGGGGGGAAAAATTGCACAACTTGAAATTTTTGCGCCCACAGGACAAGAGGGAACATTGCTGTCAAGTGTCCATAAAGATGTGAGTGAGCGTGCAGGGAAATGGCTTTGTGCACCTGGCCTGAACTCCCAGGTGTGTGTGTGTGTGTTGGGGGGGGTCTGTGCTTGTGAAGGGAGAGGGGAGGGACCTCTTTCCCATGATGCATTGTAGGCATGAATTCTCATACTTCACCTGCAAATGTTTTTTATTAAAATGCCTGTTTTTCACACCAGTCTGTGGCATTTAATATTGAAAGTGTTTTAACTGAATATGTGTGACCTGCATGCCTACCAAGACTCCCCTTGAACTGCAAACCCGGATGTCCTCAACTTCTGCTGTGTGGCCAGCACATGGCTGCACTATGAAACACGGTTTAAAACAGGGACTGTCACGAATAGGTATAAAATACTTGCTCTTCCCACAGATGCTAGTTTAAGAGTTTTTTTTTAATAAAGCAAAACCCAGGTGCTCTGATCTCAAACAACCAAGAGCTATCCCAAAATAAAACATCGAGGCCTGGTAAAAAAATTAGATGTGCCACGTTTGCTAAATATCATCTCCATATTTTTCATGTTCTGTTGGTGCTACAGTATGAGCTGCAGGCTGTTCAGCCTCAGAGCCGTGCCCCAGGGCAGGGCACTGTGCCTGCCCACGGTCAGCACACCCACTAATCCCTCTGGGCTGCTGGCACTCCTCAACCCCGTCCCCTGACAGAAAAACAGACATTTCTGTTCTCTATCCAGATGGGACTGGACTGAACCCCTTAACTACACCTCATCTTTTAAAATGGCTTCCAGCTCTGAAACCTTTCAGGGTTTATTTTTTTCTGTAGTGACCAATGAAATCCCATCAGGGATTTGACAAGTGTAACTTTTTTGACAAGACATTTTTAAAAAAAGTGACCCATTAATTAAAGGGTTAATGAAGCAAGCAGGTCCTGTCCCTCCAGGTCGATGCAGCACCAGCATTGAACTGGGGATTCCCTACCAACACTCAACCTACTAACATGAACAATTAGGAACTGGACGCAAATTCAGCCATGTTGTGGATAGACAGGGTTGCAAGTTGTGAAGTTATACAATAAACTAAATGTGAAGTGTTTTTAGCAATGGGGATTCTCATGTTCAAGGTGAGGGACAGCGTGCTAGAGATGACCTTTGCCCTGTGCTTCTCACTGGGGTTCTGATCTGGCCCAGTGTGGGGGCTACCTTCCCTTCAGAGCTCTGACTGGGTCAGTGGGCGGCCCCACAGGGACAGTTGGGTGTTGCTCTGTACCCCTGAAGAGCCTGTGTGGGACCTATAGCAACCAACAAGCGGTGATCACACACATATCCTCAGCCTGTACTATACCTCCTTTCATCACCAGGGAGCTCCCTGCTGTAAAGGACTGGTTTTATCTCCTGCTGTTGCACAGAATAAAAAGACGAGAACGTGCCCTCCAGCTCTGTGCCTGTGGGGGGAGGGGTGTGTGAACGCCCTCGCCCTCACCCCCCCGGCAGGCGGAGACGGGAGACCCCCAGAGAGCTCCGCTGTGCTGTACTCCCCACGGGCACAGGGTACAGCCTGAAGCGCCCCAGGAGCTGGCAGACTCTTCCAGGGCAAGCTGTCGAGACTACTGGGCGCATCTCCACCCAGGAACACGTGCCGTAACGCATACGGCTACGTCCACTCCTTGCTCCCTAAATCCATCCCCAACCCCCCCACAGCCTGCGGTCTAGAAGCAAAAGGCCGAATCAGAACTCCCCCTTCAGATCTCAAATGAAACTGTTCCCAGTGTTGCCTGTTGAGGGCGTTCACCCATTGAAATACAACCCAGGTGGCCAGGGGTAGCTGGCGAGGGGAGGCGTGTCAGTCAAGAAGCAGGGCTTGTTAACACGGGGTAACAGCACCCCTTCCAGGACTACTTCCACAGTGGAGCACGGAGCCCGGCTTCTCCAGGGGGCGCAGAACACACGGCCCAGGAAGAGCGGGTTCTGGGACAGACAAGGGACAGTGCAAAGAGCTGCATTTCACCCACAGCTTTATTGACAGGACGTGAGTTTCTTCCACAAGGACAGGCTGCAGTCGTTAAGGTTTATTAGTAATGCTTGTTGTAGACATTCTCAATGACAATGATCCGATAACAGCACATGGTCTTTGCAGGAGACCTAACATGAGAAAAATCTGTGGCTCATTCCCCAAGACAGACTACTGTACAGCTTCTACCAAGTGGCTATTTTAACAGAGGGTGGTGGGGGAGGAGAGTTTGCACAAAAGCTCTACGCGACCTGGCCTGAGGCGTGCAACACTGCCACCGTCAGGCCTAGTGGAGCAACTGCATTCAAGTTACACACGACTCCTGCTGCACAAACCCTAGGCTACAGCACAGGATAGCGAGAGAAGGGCGCCCCTGCTGGCTCGGCTCGGAAACCCGGTCAGCTCCATCGGCAGCTGGAGCACCCAGTGGGGTGGGGAGCGGGGAGCCCCACCCCATTCCGGGTCTCCCAACGCACGCTCACCCCCGGCCCAGCTCGAGAAAGAACGACCCGGACACTGCGAGGGCGTGCGACGAGGGCTCAGCTGTCCGGGTCGGACCGAACCGAGGAGTTCCGCCAGAACAGGGGTGCCCATCAGTCCCGCCAGGCCTCTGCCCCCACCGTGCTCCGGCACTGAGCCGCTTCCCTTTATCATCCCATGGAAAGGGCCTGTCTGGAATGTCTCGGTCTGTTCGCGGCGTCACCAGTGACAGAGCAGTGGGGCTACATCACCCCCCCCTTCCCCTCCCCCTCCCCCCCACTACAAGCACGTCAGTTCTTCAGGTCGCCCAGCTTGAGGCGGGCGAAGTCGTCTGCCAGCCGCAGCGCCTCCTGCAGGCAGTGAGTATTCCTGCCTGTAGCCTGGGCTGACATATCCTTGCCACCGCCCTTGCCGTCCAGCAGGGGGCAGACCTCCTGCACCCACTCGCTGGCCTTCAGACCCTGGTTAGCCGCCTCCTGAGGGGGAGAGAGGTGAAAGGCAGGTTATCAGCGGAGCAGACCGGCCCACTGGCACACCTAATGGCATCGTCTACTAGCATCCAGTATCAGCGCTGCCAAGACGACACACAGGAAGGGCCCCGGGAGGTATCAAGATATCGGACACCCCAATCCATTCCACTGTGTAGACAGACGGAACTGTGAAGGACAAGAAACTGGACTTTCTACCACTAAACCGGACTCCAGCACACTGTTCTTCAGCTCTGCTCTGCCCGGTAAGTAATTTAAAATAACCTAAAGGCAAGTAATGATTAAACCTGGGACAAAGTTTAAACTGGTCAAGTGCATAATTAGATCATTTAGCAAATTAAGAGAGCAAGAGGGCTCCGCTCCGTGGGAATATCACAGGGCTCCAGTCATGCAGATGAGCAGCAGATGCAAGAAAGAGACTCCGCTGTACCTGCGGCACCTGGCACAGGCAGATGATTTTGCCCGCCTCGTTGTCAACTGTGAAGAGCATGGCAGCCGTCTGGGGGGAGTGCGTCTTCAGCAGCTTCAGAGACTCGTTCAGCGCCTGGGAGGGGTGATGTATTAAATGGCTGCGTACACATTTATCTCACTGTAATTACATTGCTGAGTTTTTCTGATCTATTGTTTTGCAAAACATCTTTCTGACTGTGTGTTTCACACATTAGCATTTCTCTGCTGTGAAGTCACACAGCCAGGAAGGTACTATAGCTGCACATGTTCAGTGCTGGGTACCACAGTAGCAGGGTCGC